AGTAGTATTTGTTGCAAAATATAAGTAGTCAATGTGTTTGGCCTTCATTCCCACCCAACATGGCTTCAATCCTGACAACTGGGAGATAAAGAAGAATGTACTCCAAGATCTCAAAAGTGTTCAGTTGTTTTGCAACATAAATTACTTCTGGGATTTTAAACTGGATGAATGGTTCTAGCAGCTTAAAAGCATAAAGGAAACAAGGAGGAGGGGAAAAATTGAATCATTTTTAGCCTGTGAGTGGTTAATTATTGTCAGCAATGCATGTATTTATTATTTCTACAGAAAATTATATCAAGGTATGTCTTATCAAGTACAAACACTCAAAAACCTGGGCACTTTCCCCCCACTTTCTTCCAAATCTAATGCTAACTTACCTGCCAGAAACGAGCTAGGTGAGCTTTTCATTTCAGACAGATTTTAATTAAGAGGGTGCCAGGTTAGTGATTTTACTCTCACTATTTTGGGGAAAACAGCCTGATGGAATGGGCTGACTTGAAATAATACAATCTGTGCTTTTTATTTTTCTCATAGTTTAATCATTCTTTCTAAGATTGAGGATTGTTTAAAAAAGGTTTTATTTTATGTGCCATTGAGAAAACATTGTTCTTTGAAAGCCAGCTTATAAAACCCTCATAGAAACTTGCATTCCAACAAGCTTGGGAGAAAGAAGGAAAAGGCCCATGTAGTAATGTCAGAGGGAGATAGATATACAGGCGACTGTCTCTGGAATTTTTCAGTCCAAATCAGACAAGCCCAAGATGATTTATGAGACTGATACTTACTGCTAACACATGCAAAATGCATTAGATGGCTATTCTAACAGATGGAAGGTAAAAGCCGCATGTAGCTAAGTGTATGCTTGCTGTTAGGAACACTGTTGTGGTGCCAAGGCACGTTTCCCAGACTGCGTTTTGTTTGCTATCACCCACTGATACCCTTTACTAGCCAGGCGATACTTGGAGAAGGCATGACAAATCACGCAATTCCCCACCTTGAGAAAGAACAAAATCAGGGTTTAAAAGTCTGAAGAAGAGAGAGAAGATATGCAAAACAATGGTAAATGTATGGCCTTCGGGAACACTCACAAGAACTAAGTTCCGTTTACAGTCAGCAAAGGAATGTGAAAACAGATGGTTTGACTGGAGCATCCCACAATTGGTTTATATGCAGCCAGAGAACTTCAGCTGGAGGTTCAGATATTTGTGGCTCTTGAGACCATCTATGACTCAGCCACCCATGCCAAGCATGGTTACTCAGAACATTTTCATTTCATTTCAATTCCTCTTCAGCTGTTACAACTCTAATCTGGATTCAGCTTTTGCTTATCTGTCTGGATGATTCCAATTTTTATGACCACTGGGAATGTTGCTAAGTTTCTAGGTACTGTTAGTAAGGCAAGACTGCTAACAGCAACTTGGAATTTGTTCACTTTGCACTGCTGGTGATGGGCTAAAAAACCCTGACAGATTCTTGACTTTTGCACACCATGTTGTATTTCATCTGTTAACAGAACATATGTACCTGTGTTCATGTAAAACAAAAATAATTCCAAGTGCCATTCATGGAAACAACTGGCAGAGAAACAATCTACACAAACATAGCTGAATCAAAGTTAACAAGGTTTGTTATTTTAATTTCGCAAGCTCCACTATCAGCACATTTGACTTCAAAGGAACAAAATCTGTATAACATTTCATGATTTCATCCCTATGCTTTTAAAAACCAAGACCTCTAAACTAGCTTACGCTGATTTTTAGGAAGCAATCCAATGCAAACTAATTGGGGACTATTTGCACTATTAATATCCTCCTCCCCAATAGATAAAGCTATCTATGCATTAGGTAAGTTAGCATCCTCAAATTACATTAGCCAATCCCTTGAGAAATAGTAAAACCTTATTTGCAGTTCAATCTTTTGCATATTTTTGCATCTCTGGAGGAGATGGGTGGCATATCAATTTAATAAATAAATGAATAAATAAATTTACTCAGAAATAAATCCTACTGAGGCTAAAGGACCTTACTCCTAAGTAAGCAAGCACAGAAAAGCAACCATTGATTTCCCTGATGGATAAAACAAATTTGGGTCATGAATCCAAAGGACACCCTGAAAATTAGTGTCTAGAAGTTAAAAAGCTGCTTGCAGTGTTTATACTATTGTAAAAGAACAATGATTTCCATATCTCTTTTGCACACATAGAGAAAACTGAATCTAACCCTTCGTATAAAATTAGGATCTCAGTTATAAGGCCCAGGTGGCACAAGCTTTAGAGATTTATTCATATTATTTAGAAGCTTTGTCTATTTTTGTTTTAATATTCTAGTTACAACTGAAGGTCCCAACTGCCATTGTTAAAGACAAGCTTAGTGGACAGAAAGAAAACAGTCTGCTTTTTCAGATTTCAATCATCTCAGAACAACAGGTACAGTGGGGCAAAAAAGTATTTAGTCAGCCACCAATTGTGCAAGTTCTCCCACTTAAAAAGATGAGAGAGGCCTGTAATTTCAAAGTAGAACGTTTTGGTCTAAGCTCAACGTTGAAGGACACCAGAAACAAAATTGTAGACCTGCACCAGGCTGGGAAGACTGAATCTGCAATAGGCAAGCAGCTTGGTGTGAAGAAATCAACTGTGGGAGCAATAATCAAAGTAGAACGTTTTGGTCTAAGCTCAACGTTGAAGGACACCAGAAACAAAATTGTAGACCTGCACCAGGCTGGGAAGACTGAATCTGCAATAGGCAAGCAGCTTGGTGTGAAGAAATCAACTGTGGGAGCAATAATCAAAGTAGAACGTTTTGGTCTAAGCTCAACGTTGAAGGACACCAGAAACAAAATTGTAGACCTGCACCAGGCTGGGAAGACTGAATCTGCAATAGGCAAGCAGCTTGGTGTGAAGAAATCAACTGTGGGAGCAATAATCAAAGTAGAACGTTTTGGTCTAAGCTCAACGTTGAAGGACACCAGAAACAAAATTGTAGACCTGCACCAGGCTGGGAAGACTGAATCTGCAATAGGCAAGCAGCTTGGTGTGAAGAAATCAACTGTGGGAGCAATAATCAAAGTAGAACGTTTTGGTCTAAGCTCAACGTTGAAGGACACCAGAAACAAAATTGTAGACCTGCACCAGGCTGGGAAGACTGAATCTGCAATAGGCAAGCAGCTTGGTGTGAAGAAATCAACTGTGGGAGCAATAATCAAAGTAGAACGTTTTGGTCTAAGCTCAACGTTGAAGGACACCAGAAACAAAATTGTAGACCTGCACCAGGCTGGGAAGACTGAATCTGCAATAGGCAAGCAGCTTGGTGTGAAGAAATCAACTGTGGGAGCAATAATATAGTTGAGGTATACCTATGATGAAAATTACAGGCCTCTCTCATCTTTTTAAGTGGGAGAACTTGCACAATTGGTGGCTGACTAAATACTTTTTTGTCCCACTGTATGGGGCTCTGTGGATATCAGCTATGTAGACATGTGTTTTTAAAGCAACATATGGCAATTTTAATCAGCAACTTTAATTTTTAAGTGTGTGTGTGATCTTTATTTTGATGGAGCACAAGCTGCACATAATGGATGCTGCTTTTGATGTGTAAAGCTATCAAAAAATAGAAGCAGGCTGGCATTTAGAAAAAAGGTTCTTTCTTCAGGTAGTCCCCTATAATGCTTTTGTTCACCTGCTCAGCTTCCCTGATTCATTGCAAGATTATCATATTTAACTTGACTACCAGTATTGTAGTTATAAAATAAAATCCCACTGCTTCAGACTTCAGGTCAGTGTTGAAATCACTGTGTGAACTCTCCTTAATGTTTATCTCCAGGTTTGGGGTTTTCTTTCAGCTTCAGTATAACGCCAGCAACAGTGTTGAAGGCATCTGTCTTCAACTGAAATAACCTCTATCCTGCCAAGAGCTTATTCTGATAAATAGAATTATATAACACTACTCTGAAGCCCAGTCAGTGTCCTTCTCAGCAATAAAGGCAAGAGTACAACAGGCCTATATGCTAAATGTGAATTAGGCAATTCTTTGCACTCTTTCTCTAGAGTAAGCTCTATTTTAGCCTTCCCCAACTTGCTCAGCTTAAGGCAGGGGTCCTTTTCTTCTTACTACTTGCATAGTAGTAACTTGCAGGTTGCAGATACTTGACTTAAATGTGAATATTAGATAACAGTGCTGTGTAATGGTTAAATGTTGGACTACAACTGGGGAGAACCAGGTTCAAATCCACCCTCTGCCTGGAAGGCCAATGAGTAACTTTGGGCCAATTGCTTTCTTGCAGCCCAGTCTACCTCACAGGGTTGTCATTCTAAGGAAGAATTGAAGGAGGAAATGTGATATATGCCATGCTGAGCTTCTGGAGGAAAGATGGGACATAAATCTAACAAATTAATAACAAAAATTAAACATGTTCTAGGAAATGTCAATTTATTTTCTTTCTTGCTAACAACAAAATAGGCTCAAACAAATCAAGAGAATTGAGCACCACTGATCTTAGCTATGATTCTTTCCATGGTTTATTGAATAAGCCATAAATTGGCTGGATTCATTCAACATGGGAAGGCCAAACCAAATTATGGCCTCATTAGATGGGGGCACCTGGCCAATCTTTCTTACAATCTTACCAGGATTGTAAGCTAGACTGGGTGTCTCAAAACTCCCCAGAAAAAGACTAGGTTAAACCACTTTCATGCTGTTTCCAAGAAAAAAAACTGCCTGGCTCCATCTGTGATGTCATATAAGTCAAGCAAAACATGAGAGAGACATCGCACGTTGTCTTCTGTCATCATAAAACTGAGCCCTTGTGCTCTGAAACACTTCCAGGAAAAAAAGGACTACTTTGGCATGTGTATTTAAAAAATAAAATTCAACCCCCAACCTTTGCAATGAGCTACGTATACCTTTTGATAAATTAGTCAACTCATTATTTTTCACCTGGACATGTTTCCTATTAAACACTTTAACAGTTTCTTTTATTACAGAAAATATACTACCTTACCTTACCTCCTATTATTAGAACTTCCATTTATGTTTTCTTCATTTTTGTGCCGTCTGTAGATATAAAATTGCTTTTTCTTCCACCTTGACAAGAAAGAAAAATGATTGTTTATACAGGCTGGAATATATCACTCATCTTTGAGTTTTACAATCTTCAAACAGAAGTATTTTTCCAGTATAGTTTCCTCCACCCTTCAACATCAGAGATACACAAATTATGCAATGTATTATAGACATAAAAGTGATGTGCTCATTATTACTGTAAATGTACATTGTAACAATAGAAAGGTAAAAAAAAGACTTCATTTTTGCAAGCTTTCTAAGGGGATTTATTTGCCCACATGTTGCATATGGTTCCATAAACACATACTGCAATGATTCAATTTTGTGCAACACTATCACAAAATATTCTAAAGAACTATTTACAGTTCAGGCAAACATAACTGTTCCTAATCATGATCATGTATGATTATACACATGGAAAAGCCTCCAGATGTTTGACTCCCAGTTAAAAACACAAAATAAAAAAGTTTAAAATGTATTTTTGGTGCCCCCAAGTGGTAAGGAGTAACATCCCAATTTAAAGGGGATCTACTGTGAAAACATGGTGGGAGCTAGAAGTGAAACACTTGCTTTTGTTTTCACAGCTGTAACTTTAAGGCAATGAAACAATTATTTTCTGATGTCAAGTTTTCCTTCTATGCTTTCTTTTTCTTCTTGCCATGTCTAGACTTTTCTCTTTTTCTCTAGCCTTACACAAGAAAGTGTTTTTCAGCTGCAAAAATCAAACTTAAAAACCTAATAATCTTTAGAATAGTATTCCCAGTGGCCCGATAAGAGCTATGATTTAAAAAATGGCAAGAGGCAGGGTTTTTTTCATTCATAAAAGCAACTGCTTCAGTATCCTGTTAATTTACCACATCATGTGTGAATTGAAATGCTTAAAAAATTGAATATTCTTAAAACATATTGTGTGCAGAGGTTTTATTTCTTATTCTTACTAATGTTCTTAAAATATTCTTTTTCCTCTGGCAATATTACTATCCATCTAGATTGTAAGATTATTTGAACAAGTTGTATGTATTTAAACAAAGCAAGATATGAACTAACCTCACAGAATATATGAGACCATCAGTACTAGTAATCAACGTGCAGGCATGTTGTCTGCCCATGTCAATGAGAAACAAGGCCTCAAACTGTCTTCCAGTTTCCAGAATCCAAAGATCCCCTAAAACATAAAAGAGGTCATTTAACAAGATGTTCAGATAAGGAGGGGAATCAATATAGTGTATCTGAAAAGCTACATGGTTGTACTGTACTAATTCACAGAACATGCTTTAGCATAGCTTTAGTGTAGAATCATACAGTCTAAGGAAAGGCCTTGAAGATCATCTAGCCCAACCTTCTGGGCAGTCTAGGTGTCCATCACTACATCATCCCTCATAAATGACCAGCCAACCTATTCAAACACTTCTGAGAATCCAACACCTCCTGAGGCAATCTGTTCCATTATGTAACCTGGTTGGTTTTATCTTTGCTTAGCACATTGTATGACTCCATTCCCGTGTTTTGTATAGCTATGTTGTGCAAACCAAGCCAATTCAATAAACCATGACTAATGAAGGAATAGCCAAGTCATTGAAAATAACAAATATCTGCCTTATTAGCAATACAGGTACTGAATTTTTTAAAAAATACATTGATTCCATCGGTTTTCTAAGCAGTTTTGTAGTAAAATTAGGATCGGCCTTCCTCTTGACGTACCCTATAAATAAATTCAATGTTTGAACTGTGCTCAAACAGTTACTCATGGCTCCCTGAACCACAATTTGGTCAATCAAGTCAATATTCTGGGTTTGCCCAGCATCAAATCCCAGCTATCACTCAGGCTGGATTCTCACAACTTGACTAAATTTGGTTGGCTCATTTAGGCATCACATGTCATGTGAACAATTAAGATAAAAATTAAGGGGCGACTGATTTCCTTCTCCAGTTGCACCAAGGCCAAATCTTCCTTTAAGCAATATGAATTTGCACACAGAAGGCAGACCAGTCAGATAGGCATACTGCTTGTTTCTAAGCAGCCATCCTTGAAAGACTGTCAGATACTGGCTGTGTTCAAGGATAGACTGAACCATAAAAGCTGATCAGATTTTAGCCTAGCATGTCAGGCAAATCAAGCTGCCAGGTTTAGTTCTGTTTCAGTGAATCTGTTGGGAAAAACTGGGTTGATTGAACAAACCACAGGTAAGAATCAGGAGAAAATATACCTTAGCACCAAAATCCTACAATTATTCACTTAGAAATAAATTATGCTATAAATTTGCATGCTGTCTGCAAGACAACCAAAGTAAAAAATACTTTTTGTTGCTTCTGCTGTGTTAAACATAGAATAATGATAATAATAATCTTTAACACCATCAAACAACATCTGCCTATCCCAGATCCTTGGGAAGGCTCGATAGGTGGATAAAAATGCGAAATCCAGTCTAAACATCTGGCTGACTGTACAGCCAATGCTGCTGCTGCTGCTACTATTACTACTACTACTACTACTAATAGTAATAATAATAATAAGCTTGGGGGTCTCAAAGCAGTGGTAAATTAACGATTAGCCATAACAATAATTTTCTCTGCTACTCCATTATTAGTAACTTCCATTGTGTTTTAATTGTTGAATTTTTAATTGTTAGTTTTTACAATTGTCTTTTTTATTGTACGCTGCCCAAAGTCACAAATCTGTGAAATGGGCGGCTATATAAATATGATCTATAAATAAATTAATAAACACATAATGTCATATCAATATATTAAATATGTTACTTTCATATTATTGATCTGCAATCATTATTTTAAGGTGGAGTAGATTTGGTAGTATGTACATGGAATAAATAAATATAAATATGATTAAGAGCAACTTCTTAAGCACAAGTAGACTAATCTTTAATGCAAAAGCAAAAGGCTGTACTTATTTCCTTTCAGCCTCTCCAGGTAGGCTGCCTGGATCATAACGACAGGCCTGATGATTACCTATTTATTTTAAATGTACTGATAGATAATATTATTATTAACTATTAACAAGGAGGCTGTTAGGGCTGCTGCTGTCAAACCAAATGTTGACCAGCCAATGCTATGCACGTTTTACACAGGTCTGTTTATCATACCACGTTGTATTTCGTATCTAGTATAATATTGAATATCATAGATATTATATATAATATGATATTTTGTGGGTTTTAGTCCTTTGTGTATTTTTATTTTTATTGTACCTTTACGTGGCTAATTGTGAAGGTTACCAATCTAATAAATGAATGGAATAGAATTTAGTTTGGCTTTCTGCATGTTTTTGTACTTTCATTTCTGTATTTTTTATTGTACCTATAAGCCACCGAGAACCTGTTGGAAAGTGGTGGGATGAAAAAAAACCCAGAGAGGAAACAAAATGCAAGATAAACCCATGTTACCATAAAATTTAAAATAAAATCAAAGTTAAAATGATTTCTAAGCTCTTTTGGTTTTATTGTACCTGTACCCAGAACCTGTAAGACTACAGCAGGGTAAAAGTCTAATAAATTTATGACAACATATGGTACTCTATATCACATCCTACCATACCCTGTAATAATATAATAATAATCACATCATATATATAATATTTTGTACTGTAATACAATATATACTATAACACCACATAGAACAATAAA